GAGAGAGAGAGAGAGAGAGAGAGAGAGAGAGAGAGAGAGAGTTGTACATAGTGGACTGTTTGTGTTGGATTGATGTTGTTGGTTTGGTGTGAGTTTTTGCTTTGGTTTAGGAAATCTGCCACAAATAGGTGAGTGTCGCTCCGCGGGGATTCCATCATGGTGGGCGGCGGGGTCTCTTTGGGAGCCAACACAGATGGGTGGAGTAGTTAAATACCCTGAATCGCGAGGAGGAGGAGGGTGGGTTTGTGGGGTCTTCGACCCCTGCCTCGCGGGTGGTGGGGTATGATGGGTATCACTGCTGGTTTATGAAGATATTGGGTTTGGTTACATATTCGGGTCGAACAATCGTGGCTTTGGTTTCCATCTTTTTGTGACAGGATTTGGTTTCTGTAGTTATCTGAGTTCTTTTTCGCCGTTTGGGTAACACTTGTCGTAATTAGTTGCGACCCTTGTGTAGCGTTTTGCATGCGATGGAATGAAAGAGAGAGTGCTGCTCTGTAGAAACGCCATTATGGTGGGCAGTGGGGTTTCCTTGTGAGAAGGTGCAGATTAGTGGAAGTGGTTTTCCCTAAATCGCGAGGAGGCGGGTGAGTTTGCGGGGTCTTTGACCCCTGCCGCGCGGGAGGTAGGGTATTACCGCCGAGATGTTGAATTTGGGTCAGATATTCATTTCATCTTAATAGGCTGCTGTTTGCTGTCATCTGAATTCTTAAGGAGAAGTGGTGAGCATTGCTCCACAGGGGCTTCATCATGGAGGGAGGTGAAGCATCCGTAGGGGGTGTATGTAGATTGAGGGAGAGGTTTACCCTAAATCGCAAGGAGGTGGGTGAGTTTTGCGGGGCTTTTTAGCCCCTGCTGCGTGGAAGGTAGGGTAATCCCCTGGTTAGTGAAAACAGCATCGTGGTGGGAGTTGGTGTTTTTGTAAAGAGGAGTGTGGTGCTATCCGCTTTAAATTGCGAGGAGGTGGGTGGGTTTGCGGGGTCTCTGTCAGCAGTTTGGGGCCTGTGGGCATAGACCCCTGCCGCACGGGTGGTAGGGCGGATTGGCAGGGGTTGGTAATAACTCCGGATGAATGGTGGACATGATCATGCAGCGCTGACCGCTTGTTTCTTTTTTGTGGTCTTGATTCATTTTTCTTGGGTAGTTCCTTTTGCACATGATTTCTAAATGGTCGGTGGAATTTAGGTCACTAAATTAGGGTTCACATGAGTATTGTGATTAGATTTTTTAGTGATGAACTTTAGACTTTGATGATAAATTTCGTTGATTTTTCAGTAGTAGGGGCTGTGGATTTGGCTGTGGAGTTGGTTGCAGGGCGAAATCTAGTGGTACCCTCGATGTGCTTGGCCGGTGATGCTTTGCCCGCCGAGGGCCCCACCTAATTTTGTGAGGGATGCTGGGCCCGGTTCCCAGCTTTAAAAATAAAATAAAAAATGAAAGAAAAACAACAGAAAAAAACGGGTGATTTCAATGTCCACTCCAGCGGCGGGTGTTTGGAAGTCTGTGTGGTTCAAAAACAGAAAAGAAAAGAAAAAAAAGAGAAAGTCTGTGTGGCCAAGGCGTGGCTTTCGTTCTAAGAACAACCTTTCGAATGAAGTCTGACTGACTCTGACATTTTTCCAAAAATGTCTTCATTCCAAAGGCTGTGTGGCGAGCCCCTTTCATTCCCTTTTTGAGCTCGCTCTCTCGTTTTTTTTGCCCATTCGGAACAGTTACTCTGTTCTGACATAGACGAACTTGGCCTTTGTTTGTTTTCTTTTCTATCTATATAACTATTAAAGGTGGAAGGGGCCTCGTAAGAGGCTTCCCCTGGGCCCGGAAAAACGAGGCCCACACGTCGGTTGGATGGGACAGGCTTTGTGCCCCCTTTGGTATGTTTTCTTCTTTTGGGTGGTCGGTGCAATTGCTGTTGGCGCAGTTTTATGAAAGGGGTCTTTTTTGGCCGCGGAATTGTGGACTGGATCTACAAGTGTGGCAGACTGGCAGTATATTCTATGTTCTAGTGGAAGATTCATTCTGTTTTGGTCATATCCATGAAAGTTGCCTGAGGCCAGCCACGAGGTTGGAGACTTACCTGTTCTCTCTCCCTCTCTCTCTCTCTCACACACACAAAAAAAAGAATAAAAAGAAAAAAAAGTGGCAGTGTATATTTCCGTGAGGCCAGCCGCGAGGTTGGAGACTTACCTGTTCTCTCTCCCTCTCTCGTTGGGTTTTTTTTTTTTTTTTTTTTTTTTTTTTTAAATGGGAAAAAAACTCCAATCTATTCGTGGGGAGCAACACGTGCTGGGAACCGGGCCCAGCGTCCCATATAGAAAATTACACAGGATTTTGAAAAAGTTTTGAGAATTTGCAGTAAGGGCCACTACCTGGCTTTGGCTAAGGGCTAGATTAAGAGATACAAACAAGCTACCGAAAATAGGCAAAAATTCAGGAACAGACTCAGACCCCCCCTCCATAGTCATTACCTCACTCCCGCAAGTCTCTCCCTCTCTCTCTCTCTCACACACACACACAAAAAAAAAAAGAAAAAAAAGTGGCAGTGTATATTTTCATGTTCTAGCAGAAGATTCATTTCTATTTTGCTCATCCTATCCCGGGAAGTAGTCTCTCTCTGCCTCACTGTGCACATGGCTTTAAAGCAGTGTATATTTCCATATTCTAGCGGAAGATTCATTCCCATTTTGCTCATCCTATCAATGGAAGTAGCCTCTCTCTATCACTCTGCCTGCATGGCTGGAAAACTCTCTCTCTCTCTCTCTCTCTCTCTCTCTCTCTCTCTCTC